AACATATAATGCTAAGGATTACTTCATGGCTAACCGCAAGTGAATGGCATATGTTATTTTTTCTACATTAAAATAAAATTAAATGAATTCAAAGTTATCTTATTTAACAATCAACAGTCTCTGCATGGAAATGACAGCAATAAATATCCTGTGGCCACACACCGACCATCTTGTGGCCACAAGCAGTGTCAACGGATGGGTTTCATATTTTTCTTACAGTAATTAGTACTTTTAGGTATACATATTTCTAGATGAAAAAAGCTAAATGTAGGTCATAAAATCTCCTGTTTTTTCCCAGTATCCTTCCATACACCATGACCTGTGCATTGAATATAAGCACAGAACTTGAATTGTTTTATCAGATCCATAACTGCAGATTTTTATTAAATAAAAAAATACTTAAATATCTGGATTCATTATTATAACACAAAATATACTTTTAAAAAGAAAACATAAAGGAATATAACTTTCAAATACAACCACACCCAATTTTAACATAATGTCTCTAAAACTAACTGAGTACAAGAACGTTTTTTTATTTTCGTTTCTAAAGTCAGTTGGCTGTTGAAATAAATTGGTTTCATAAGTTAGTCACTTGTAGATCCAGTGTTTACTTTATACAGTAAGTTTCATAAAATTTGTCCAGTGGTTCATAAAATATTTTTCTAACAGACACAGACAGAAACATTATTGTCCACCTTTGCTTTTTGACAACAGGACATAAATATAGTCATGAAATTGCTCACAACATTCATCATCCACAGAGGATAGAGCTGTATGATGGTGGTGGTTTTCTGACATCTGACTGAATGCCAACGTCAGCTCACAGGTTTCATTTATCCTGTGAAAATCTTGGAATCTAAACGATCTGGCACTACCAGCATCCTTAACGACTCTGCTGATCCACTGACCTTTTCTCTGGTGCCACCGTGAGGCTGACATTTGTGGTTTCAGATGCAACGTCTCAACAACCATAAGACGCGCTGCCATGACATTTGGTTTAGACATTCCTGGTCTTTAGTGGACAAATCCTACTGACACTGATAATTCTCTGCCTTTTTATTTAATGTCAGCAGCTTTCAAAAGTTTTCCCTTAAGCTGTAAAGTGGCATCCAAGTTGGATGAACTGGTTATGGACTAAACATGATTTGTCCTAAGGCCTTCTTTCTACCTTGTGAGGTTGTGGTGTTCAGTTAATCATCTGAAAAGGGTTTTTGGGGAAACATTTTAAAGTGAGTTTTCTGGGGAAATGTTTTGAACAATTAATATCTTGTTGAAGATAACTTTTACGTGGAGTCCTTTGCTCTCAAACGAAAACAACTTGGAGGCAGGTCCGTTGCAAGAGGGCAAGCAAACTAGAATCCCCAAGCTGACTGGTCATGTCTTAAAGTGCCTTTAACATGCATATTCTTCAAATACAAAAATTCAAAGAAAACATCTTTATATTTAAGAAACCTGACATAATACACACAATCTTGCTCATTTTGTCACATAACTGGCATATTTTCTTTTGAACTTGGCTCAGCAAAAGTGAAACAGGAAGTGACATCAAAGGGGAAATATTTAAGAAAGGGAACTCTCTGGTCTTTGTTTATTGAAATAATATTATTTAAACTCTAACTCCTCTTCATCTGTCCCTGATAGTGACTCAAAATAATTTAAATACATATCAAATTCTTCTCTACAGTCTGTTGCTGCGATTTCAATAACACTGTCCACATGCAGACATTTCCTTTTTTACGTCACTTCCTGTTACTTTACATGCCAATATCTCAACAACAGCTCATTCCAGTGGTGTGAAAATTGTTTTCTAGTATGTTATTAATGTTGTCTTCCCAAAAATGCATTCATATTTATTACAAAAAATTGATGTCACAGTCACTTTAAATGCAATGAGAAATTATGTGAGCATCCTTTTAAATCCTACGGTGGTCAATGTAGGAAAGTGCAACCATACTGTTATCCCTCTCACTAACTAAACCTACATGACGTCCACAAGAGAGGAATGGCACCTGTAAGTCAATTGATTAACGTTCACAGGTCTTTAGACATGAAAGACAGTGTGTTAACTTTTGCTGAAGCCAAGGCTTGCAAGCAGCAGATTTAAATATTTTGCACATGATGGCCTTAGTGAAAAACTTCATGTTAAAGTGTGTATGTGTGATTGTGTACGTACTAGTTTTTGTTGGATTTTAAAGTCAATATACAGCCTGAACAGTTATTTGTATAGAATGTATGTTCTTTTGCTTAGGATGATGGTCATGATGGGATGAATGACTCTTTATAAGAATCCGGATCTTGATGAGCCGTTTGTTTCGTGAAGCTGTTCGATGCTGCTGTACTCCACCCCTTTACCTGTAACCTATGAAAAAGCAAAGGAGGAGCAATTGTCTCTGTAGTTAAGGAGGAAAAATAAAGATATTACAAGAAGCAAAAAATGAAACAACAAACGGCTCTTTACTGTCCGCAACACGTCTATCGTTTGTTATAAGGAGTCATTTAAAAGATATGTATCGTCGCATCTCTAATGGTGGTGTTTTTTGTTTGTTTTTTTGTTTTTCAAATGTTCTCATTTAAATAGTATTATTAATTATGTATATAATATTTGCATTTTCTAAAATTTATGCTTGCACTTTTTTGCACAGGATCATGGTAGGATTTCAGAATGTTTAAATGAAAGCAAAAAAATGTTTTTGACATAAAGTAAACTTAAATAATCAATGTGTCTATAATGTGGTTCCTGACTTTGAGCTGGTGGACATTCAGGTTGGGGTCAGAATGGGGGGCCACAAGTTTCCTTTTGCCTAGTGCCCCTAAAGCGCCGTGAAACGGCCCTGCTCGAGGGACTGCTGAATCCTTGGTATTTTCTTTTTGTTCTGAAACTTGTGATCTGAAATTGTGCCGTCTCCTATCAATCTAGCCCCAGTGTTTACCCCTCTCCATCTGCCCCTGTTTACCCCAGACTGCAGACCTGTATGTTGAGGGACGACAACGATGCGCACAGGCAGAAGGCAAGCATGGAAGCCATCAGACTGGAATTCCTCCACCTGCCAAGAGAAGTAAGTCTTCCTTTTATGAGCCAATTGAAATTCAGGTCACAGGCAATTCATTCTGTCAATGACAAGAGGAGTCAGAACAACCTTGCCCCCCCCCCCCCCCCCCACTAATAACACTACTGGTCAGAGATAGATCAAGCTGAGCACTGATAGTTAGAGTAGGTCTTTTGGTCACCCATAAGTGTTTATGCGCAGACAATTTTTGCCTTCATTTGTTTTGAGCAGATGCATGCCTGGGTACACCTGCGGTCGATTGTAATAGTTTTCACTCCAGCGGCGGGCTGACAAATGACCTGTAGGGTTTTTTTTGTTTTGTTTTGTTCTCTTTTTTTTGTGGTTTGTTCCCCATACATACACATAACACATGGTAATACGTGCGCAAAAATGGGAATCACTTTCCTCTGGTTTCGTATGTATAAGCGTTCGTTCACCTCTGACCCCTCGGGTTTCACCGACAGGTTCATTACCGCTGCTTGCGAGGGCGAAATCAGCCCTTAAGTTTTTTTTTCTCACTAAGGTTTTTGCTAAAGCATGAGCATTTTTAATCAATACAGTCGGAGGAGATGAAAATTGATGATTGGGATAAGAAAAGGGTCTCTTGTTCTTGGACTCACATTCAGACACAGCCTGCTCTGCTATAGTCAGCTCAACCACTGAGGGGCAGTAGAGAGCCTCAAAAGAAACACATTTTGAAGGTAGGCTGGTTTTTCAACTCTTTTATTAAAACCAAGGATATGGCATCATCTATCATCATTCAGGTTACCCCAGGTACATGATAATTCAGTACGTATTAGAATCTATTTTTATTGTACTTTATGGATGACTTGTATTAAACCATAAACGGTACCCTAAAAATAAAAAAGGGATGATGATAGCAGACAGCCTCCACATTGGAATAAATCAAGTGTTGAGAGGGCTTATGAATCTAAAGTAATAGTTGCAGATAAACAAATTTTAAGGAAAAAATTACGTCCTAAGGCTATATAAACAAACCTGATCTTTTAATTTTTAATCACATTTTAATTTCGGAGATTCAAATAAAACATTAATAAATAAACAATTTGAAAATGAATGAATGAATGAATTAATATCATTAGGTATTTCCAGTATTTACATCATATTAAAAGCATTTTCAACAATTACTTATTGAAATGATCATAATTAACAATATGATGTCATATATTTTTTTCAGATATTTGTTTAAATGTTTCATGGGATCCTACTTTTATGTAAGCATAAATTTCTATTGCTATTTTGCTTAAAATTTTTAAATCCCAAGTTATTTGTTACCTTTTTGTGAGTTTTTTCTTTCTAATCTCAAACCAGCTTTAATTTATTTTAAGAGAGTGAGATATTTGAAGAAATCAAGCTGATTATGATTCAAATTTAGATGAACATTGACCTAAAAAAGTGTAATAAAAGCGATGGATGATTTTGCGACTATTTTTTAATAGAATAATTGTCCTTTCTGGGTCAAAATGAACTTGAGAAAACAAGCACAGTCACTTCTAGATATCAAAACAAAGAGTATAAGTCATTATATCAAGATAAGTTCATGAAAAGTGTCTAAGATCATCCTCTTTTGGCTTCAGTTTTAATTTAAAACAGGTGGGAGGGTCACAGCTATTTGTAACAATGTATTGTAGAAATCTGAAAAACAAGTTTCTCTTATTATGAGTCCCAGTTCAGATATTCATCTTTATTGTTAATTTAAACGATATTTTTGTGAATATGTGTATCTTAAACTCTTTTTTTTTCATTATTATTCTGACTAGCACTGATGTGATTGTTGACCAAGATTTATGCCAAAATGTATTGAACAGTGGATTCATTGCGCATGCGCTCTGTACACAGTAGGCGTGGTCAAATCGGAGTAATCCATTGGAGATCAGCGGCGACCCTGTGAGCTCACTTCCGTCGGTTTGAGCTGTCTACCCTCTTGTCAGTCTCTCTCCCATTTCTACCCAGCTCAGCTGAGAAGACTGTGCGTTTCGGAGCCGAAGCAGAGTTCGGGTCTGTTTCATGCAGAAAACGACCCGGTAGCCACATGCGAAGCGCCGTCTACACGAGGGATACCCGGCACTTCATAGTTACATAACCGGACTACTTTTTTTTTTTTTGCCTTTTTATTGGAGTTTTTTCACGCTTTTTCTCCTCCAAGTTGCATTGACTTGCTTTTCTAAAAATTCTACAAAAATGGAGAACGACGATAAATATCTCCCTGAGCTTCTGGCAGAGAAGGACAGTTTGGACTCTTCGTTCACGCATGCCATGAAACTTTTAAACGCAGGTAAAGAACTATTTTGTCGCAGAACGTGTTGTGCTTTAACTCGCGTGTGGCGGAAGCAGAAAGACAATCAGCGGCACGTCTGCGTGGTGCGTGTTTTTTCGGACGAGACGTGAACTGAGTTGACCAATTGACCGTGCTCACACGAAACCCAGTATTTTTAAAACGCACACGAGTTGGCGACATGCTGGTTGATATTATTGTTGAAGGAACAGAATTGTTCCAACATGCGTCGCGTATTTAATTTCCGCTTCCTCTGTAGTGGTGATGCCAAACAAACACACACCGAGCAGGTTTGTGAGCTGAGTTTGAACTTAAAAACTCGCCACGGCTTCGGGACTGTTTGTGTCGGCTGTTGCTGCATTGATTCAGCTGTCCTGAGACTAGCTAAAAATGTGAACCAGGCTCACCCCGCCACTTTGGAAGCCGGGAAGCAGCGTTCAATAACGGGCTAGAAGAGCTCGGATTCTTGGGTGTTGCGTCGAGTTGCGTTTCCTCTGCTAAAACGTGCATCGTTTCGCATAAAAAATGGGGGGAAAGCACGGGATATGTAAGCCAGGAGGGAACGACTCAGCATGCATGTGTTTGAGAAATGTTTGAGATTATGAACACAGGAGAAATCTGCCTATTGTTGGTGCTGAAGTGCTGCTTGAAGGATGTTGCGGCCATGGTGGATCCGGGGCAAACATCCTCTGCTTGGATCAGCTTTTCACCCTCTGTGGTCTTAATGTTAACACGATTCACCCCTTTTTAGTAGACTATTTGTATCCAGGGGTTGTGTTTGACGTGATTAAAGTATTACTTTGTGTCTTTGCAACATAACAGAGACACTGATGGGAATGTGAGCATCATTGTTGCTGATCTACAGCATGGGTCAGTTTTGCCTTTTATTCTTCTGCTCCACACCAGCATCCCAAAGCTGCCCTGCTGAGGATTCAGTTGAGTCTAACAGGATGTGCCAAAGCAAAGCTACAATGTCAGGAACTGCAAGCGTGACTAAGACAAAGTGTGTCAGTGTTTTCTGCATGAAGTTCTCCTTGCTGGAAACATTTACAGACCCCCTTCCCCCCCCCCCCCCCCTTTGGATCTTGCAGCAGGTAGACTGTGGTGCAGCTGACATGTTTGCACACCCAGGAGAAGTCAGGTGGTGTGTGTTGAGGTGTGCAGCAGGAAGTGTGTTAGGCACCGTTGTTATGATTGGATCGGGGTGTGTTTTAAATAAATGTAAGTCTTTGAAATCATCTTATTTTAATTGAGATGAGGTGTTTAAAACTCACTACTATTAGTAACCTTAATGTCTAGTAAATAGATAAGAATGCAGCAGGATTTTTTTAAATATGTCAAAAATGTCTCAAACGGTTGCCTTAAATAGATCGTTTTGTTTGTATTTAATATTATAAACAGAACTAATTTATTATTTTTGTTGTTAAAACTGTAGATGGGTAGATGAAACTCGTTTTTCCTGTATTCAGCATCAACTTCTGGCTGAGGTTTTGTTCCTCTTGTAGTAATGATCTTCAAATCCGACCACTTTTGCTTCCTTGACTGTTCAGGGTGAACTTTAATTTCACTACATGAACACTTAGTCTCTGTCTTTTTTTTTTTTTTRTTTCCAAAAGAAATCGATAGAGTCCAGAAAGGCGACACTAAAAAGGAGACAGAAACCTACCTGGACCTTTTCACAACAAAGAACATCAAACTCAAGGAGCGAGTGCTCATACCTGTCAAACAGTACCCAAAGGTGAGCTCTTTTTTTTTGTTTCTACCGTAAGCTTCTTATCATGGAATATTTTTCTGTTGCTGTGTTTCAGTCACACAAACTTATAGATTACTAGTCTCTAATAATCTCTTCAACTCTAAATATGAAGCTCCAGATTGATTAGTTTGGCAATATTACCAAACAGTTGAGAATAGATGACTATAAATTAAATGTTATTCTAGGAAATCCATCATCATTTGTGTCTTGTTAAATGTCTTTGTGTGTTCGTGTCACTTTATTTCCTACATTGTGCTATTTTAAAGAGTCTGATCTATAGGAGCCTTTCTGTCACAACCCTGATCAATCTGATGTAGGAGCTTGTTCTCTCTGGGTGTGACAGCCGTTTGATTCCCTCCCAGACTTAGCTGAAGTTGTTAGAGAGCGCGCCAGAGTCGAGGATGACAAATCTAATTTGTGTTTTCCGATCAACAAAGCTGCGTCTACAACCCCGAGCAGAACCCGCTTCCGTTTTAGGCAGCTGTTTCTCTAAACATGTTTAGCAACGACAGCTAATTGAATACACAGGTTTCACTTTGATTGCAGCTTTTGATCGCAAGTGGGTTTTCAGCTCAGTGCATGGGTGGTTGTAGTAGAAGCAGCTGACGGTCTCAGAACCCGCTAATAGCTCTCGTTGACTTTGGTAAAGATGTCATTTAAGGCCCTGCAGTTTATGCAACAAGACCCTCTCTGTGTGTTTAACCAGCCCCCCTGGCTGGGATGGTCGGGCTAATTTTGTTTCTGTTTTTTTTTTTGGTTCCGTTAGTTTAATTTCGTGGGGAAGATTTTGGGACCTCAGGGCAACACGATCAAACGTCTGCAGGAGGAGACTGGAGCCAAGATCTCAGTGCTGGGCAAAGGATCCATGAGGGACAAAGCCAAGGTATGACCTGTGCATGCATAATGATTCAGTGTTTATTGTCATGTGCACAACCAAAGACATGTTTCCCTGAGCAATGAAAGTCTTACTTTGCTGTTCACAATGAAGGCCAGGGGAGAAAAACCAAAATAAATAAGAGAAAACTAAGAGTATCAATTAGGGATATTGATTTATCGGCACAGATTTCCTTAATTGTGGGAGGTGGTAGATGAAAGGAAAAAAATTGTATAGGTCCTCTGGACGGGTTCTTCATTAAAGAAGAACCCGTCCAGAGGACCTATACAATTTTTTTCCTTTGATTTTTTTCCTGGATTACTGAGATGCATCAGGACGAGGTGGTAGATGGGCTGATATTTGGATAAGATTGGCTTCTCATCTACCTTCACAAAGACCTGAAAATCAGCCACTGTCCCCTTTTGCTCTGCTGTGAGCGCTACCTAAAATCCAGTTAAAACAAGTTTGTATTGCTTCAAGGGTATTGTTCTATGCTTTTCAATAAAGAAACATTGAAGGTGTATTGTATCGGTGCACCCCTAGTAACAGTAGATATAATGTGTAAAATGAAAAATCTAAAACGTGCAAATGTGCAAGAGTCAGGTGGCAGAAACACTCAGCTATTTAAGAGTCTGATGGCACTTTGGGGAAAAGGGGAGTTCTTATATCTGGAGGTCCTGTATTTTCCACTTCTGTACCTCCGGCCTGAGGGTGGAGATGTGAATAGTCCGTGTTGGGGGTGGGTCGGGTCTTGGATGGAAGTGGACTCTGCAGAGATAGATTCTCAAGATAGGCATGAGTAAGATGCAGGAGCACTTCTGACCTTTACACACAAAAGGATGGAAGGCATTGAGGCCAGATGTTAACGTATTATTTATTAAACTTTATTCAATCAGGTGAATCCCTCTGAGATCACAGATCTGTTTTAAGTGAGGCCTGAAGGCAACCAAACATGTATGTTTTTGGACTGTGAGAGGAAACAAGAGAGAAGTAGTCCAGGTCCAAACTGGGGATCAAACCCACCCTTCTTAACCACTGATTCATCGTGCTGCCATCTTGCACCAGTTTTAAAATAATCCACAAAATCTGCCAGTTTGACATTATTAAGCTATGTAAAGTAGGGAGTATAGTGGCTCTGCTCGATGACCTCAGATGTGGAAAAAGTCTTTTGTAATTCATGAAATGTTTGAGCAAAGCTCACCGACACGCTTGTGATGTTCCTCTCAGGAGGAGGAACTGAGGAAAAGCGGCGAGCCCAAGTACGCCCACTTATCCATGGAGCTGCACGTGTTCATCGAGGTGTTCGCCCCCGTGCCAGACGCTTACCTGCGCATGGCACACGCCATGGAGGAGGTCAAGAAGTTTCTGTTTCCCGTAAGTTTTATGCTTTTTGGTGCTTATTGTAAACTGTTGATTGATGAAGCTGTTAATCTCAGCTAATTTTTTCAAAACAAAGTAACAGTTGTTGTTGAACGCTTAATCGAGCTTGAAGTGATGTCTAAAGATTTCATAGTGGAGTAAAAACACAATAAGTTTGTTTCATTTGTAAGTATATACAGATACTTTGTTTTAAAAGTAGCAAGCGGGGTGGAATACATCAAGATGATTGAAATGCCTCAATAACATCTTTGTCTGACCACTGCCTTCACAGTCAAATCACGAGACGTTTAAAGTTGGGGGAACAATTTCCTTGGCCATTATTTGGAAAAGACCTCCCAAAAACTCATCCCCTTTTGCTCTGCTGTGAGCACTGCCTAATGTCCAGTGAAAGTTTGCATTGTTTCATTGGCATTGTTCAATATTTTTCCAATAAAATAAGATTGGAACATTAAAGGTGTATTGTGACCTTATAACACCTGACAGTGTCGGCTATTAAAAAAATCTATCGGCCAAAATCGGAATCGGCAGGTCAGATTTTTTAAAGATCAGTAATCGGCTCTAGTCTCAAGATTTCTACCTCCTATTAAAAAGGGGTTTGATACGACCTCTAAATAAAAGTTGTTGTTAATTAGTTCTTAATCCAGAGCTGGACAAATTGTTTTAAGTTTTAAATAGAGTGGAGGTGCAAAAGCTAAATGTGCCATGTTGCACCTTATCTTCAGCTGCAGGCTGTGATCCAGGAGGTGTTTAAAAAAATCTTTATGCCAATTTAGGGAGAAAGATGTGCTATTCAAGCAGAAAACATCACACCACTACAGCGTCTCTTAATTACTGGTGTTTAGAACAGAAAAAAGTCTTCTCTTCTAACAGAGGCCTGAGATGCAAGTAAGAGGGTATTTACCTGGAACAAACTCACTCGATGGCACTGTCCAGGCTCGTAAAGCCATCATCCTAAGAGGAGAAACTGGGTCACTTAGACTGTGTCAGCAGGGTTAGGCTGCGTGTCAGTCCATCACCGCTCCAGCCTCATTCTGGAGACCGGCGTTCATATTCACCCCAGAGCAGCTGACGCCTGCTTCAGCCCTTTAATGCCTACGCAAAGTGCGTTTTCAAGCCCCGCTGCGGCTTACGGTGGTCTGAAAAAGAGGTGAGCGAGGGCCGGCACGTCCCAGACGCCTTGCAGGTTTTTGTGCACGGTGCTCTTTGAAAAGAAGCAATCTGAATGAGAGCCGAGCTGAAAAGGGCAGTGAACCAGTTGCGATGGTGGTATTGCCGTTACGTAATAAGCTGCAGCACCTGTCTCTACAATTAAAGGTCATAATCCGTCAGGCACAAATGCTGTCATTTAGAATAAGGCTGCATTTTTTTTTAAACGGCTCCTAGAAAATCTCTGGATGTGATGTTTTGTAAATTTTATTTATTTTTTCCCCACATTGCGCTCAGGTATTCTTGGAGGATTTGACTCTTTCCTCCTCCTGTTTTTATCTCTGCATAGCACAGCGTTCGTAAATGCTAAAGTAAATAATTGCTGCCATGCGAAAGATTTGTTGATAATCTCTCCATCAGAGCTGTTGTTTGTTTTTTAAATACAGCTGCATGGAAGACTCCTGAAATGAACTCCACAAATTATTTGCTGCCTGCTTTTTTGCTGCTGCTTATCCTAGCAGTCATGCTTTTCTTCGGGTTTTTTTTTTCTTCCCATCATTAGAGCCCCGTCACCATTCCAGGCCGGCGACTGATGCATGAACCAGAATTGATTGGGTCACAGTGCAGCTCTCTTTCTTTGCGGCGGCAGATTGTGTTGCAGGATTTGTGCTGCTCAGACAGGCAGCCACACTAATCCTGCCCAACTTATTGTTTCTGCAGATAAAATGAGCTAACCATTGATGCAGTCACACCAGACTTGTCAAGGACGTGTGGAGAGACGAGATTTACATTTTGTGCATGAAGGGAGGAAGACGGAGTGTGGATGGATGCTTTCCAGCCTCCCACATGCCCCCCCTCCCCGTCCCTCCTCTCTTTAACACTCTGAGTCACTAAGCATTGAGACTTTTTCTTCCACCGGGGTGGGCTGGGGTGGGGATGACATGTTTTTCACTAGCTTAGTATTTTTATTTATTTTTATTTCCCCCCCTCGCATCTTGCTCATCTTCCTCTCTGTCTCTTCTGTTTTCTTGGCATACTTGTGCAGGATTTGATGGATGATATCTGCCAGGAGCAGTTCATGGAGATGAGCTACCTGAACGGAGGCCAGGAGCACGGCGGCAGAGGTCGAGGGGGCATGCCTGTTAGGGGCCGTGGCGTCCCCCCAGCAGGAGCACACAGGTGCAGAGACGGGGACAATCATCCACACACATCTTTGTTCACACTAGAGATGCATGAAGAGCGTCGCCATTACTGTGTTTGATTTTATTCAATTTTATGTTTTATTGTTACAACACTGCACAAAGCTCCTATCGTAGCAACAGTAGTATTAGTTTTTCTGTTTTATGCTCTTTTTAATTCAAGGAAAATAAAACCCTTCCTGTGTCTAAATATTGTGCACAAATATGCAGATAAAACTGCACAAATGTAAAAAAACTCCAGGTGTTTTGTTCAAGTTCAGCTTAAGAATCTATTATCCCTAAGGGGCAATTTGTTGCACAAAATCAAAAATATTCCTACACAAACACAAAGATCACAAATGTTCGTTAAGGAATTTGCTGCTGATGAATGAGTTTTTAAAGCTACTAGTCCTACATTTAGCTTTTAATTATCAAACTAAAATATAATGAAACAGGAAAAAAGCTGAATATTTTTAGTCCTGAAAAGTATAAATTTTTAAAGCTGATAGGTTTAAATAGCTGTATTCTTATTTTTCCAAGTATTTAATGTTGTAGTGGCAAGCCTATGATTAAACAACAACAAAAAAATGAGTGGCAAAGGTGAAGCACCCACACTTGCCTCCACCATCATGTGTTCCACTCTGGCTCTTATGCAAGACCCCTAACCCTCACATCTGCTCCCCCCAGGTGCCCTAGATGGTAGCTCAGTGATTCTTAATGCTCTTAAAGTAAAGCCAGTTAAATAGTTCTTTTTTCATAATAGATAGCTGTCTGTAAATAAATAAATATCAGCTAAGTACTTTAGCCTTTCTTTAACTGCAGACTGTAGTTTTAATAATAAAGCTAGGCTAGCTAATTTATTTTCAAAGTTATTTATCTAGCTCCACCTTAAAGGACCGATATTATTTGTTTCTCAGGAATATATTTTAATTCTATACCATAATAAAGTATCAATGTCACCTTCAATTAATATGAAAATGCTGTTTATGTGTATAAATCAAAAATAAATTCGACTTCTCATCATATCTGTTTCTAAACACCTTGAAATTGGCCTCTGTCTCTTTAAGAACTTCCTTCCGCTTCCATCAAGCCCATTTTTGCACGTCATTGCAACAACTTCATGCCATGTACAACCTGGAGCATTGTTGGCTAAATATTTTAATTAGTTGGAGGGTTATTTCCAAAATGAACTCAAACCATTTCTTGAACCGTGTCATCCTTGGCATCTAAAAATACATTTCCTCAAAGGCATTTTTTAATCTGAAAAGGACTGGACTGAGAAGTATTATGAGCTCAGCAGACGTGGTTTCACCAGTTTAGTTGTTGCTGCTGATAGTCTGCAGAGGTGTGCTCTGTGATGATGTGGCTCAGCTTGGAGACACAGTCCAGAGGAGGAGCTGGTCCTAAAAGGAGGTTCTAGTCCCATCCGGTTGTTTTTACTCCCCTGCCTGGGTGCCTCAGGACACTACAGGATTTCTCAAACATGCATGAATGAGTCAAAGTTTGACTTTGGACATGTTTTTGATGAGAGAATAACATAACATGATATAAAACTAAAAAAGTTGATTTTACATGATACTGCTCCTTTAAATGGTCTGACAATGGGATGAATAAACAAGTTTTACTTTATAACTAGCTAACCAGGAAATGGCAATAAATAAACAGCTAACTTATTTTTTAACAGATGCCAGCTGATACTTTATCACTCATTAAGCCTCCAAAAGGTTGTTGGTGAGGAACTTGCAGGTTCCACAGGACAGCGTCGACTTGCCGTGATAAGAGTGTTAAACTTCTGGTTTGAAATAAAAAGATGGTTTTCTGTTTTTGGAGTATAAAATGAAAAGCGAACAGCTGTTTTAAACACAGTAAATGAATGAAGAAAACGTACACAGACTCGTAGCGAGCAGAATACTTGTCAGATTTGTGTTTTTTTTCCCCTTTTTATTGTCAACTTTCTACAAGCTGTGCTGACAACAAGACTGCTGTCAAAAAGCTTTTCCTTTGCAGTTCTTAGACCCCAGATACAGCCACACTTCAAATGTTGCGCTCTTCAGAGCTCAGACACCCCTGCTGCACTTTTAATGCTTTCTGGTGCCGTCAGTTGGACAATCAAACGTTTCCTCTGGATTTTATTAGCGTAATAATTGATTTTAGCGTGAAGAGTAAATGAAGCCCAGAGAGTTTTGCAGTTGAATGAAATTCTATCTTTTCTTTTTTTGTTGTTGTTTTTAAAAATTTCAACCTCTCTCTTCCAGGGGAAGAGGAATGCCTCCTCACGGCGCCGTGGGGAGAGGCGTGACTCGAGGCGGCCCGGCTAGAGGCGGAGCAGTCAGAGGGGCCCCTACAGGCAGAGGAGGACCCCCTGCAGCACCCACCAGGGGAGCAGTGGCGCCCCGTGCTAGAGCCCCAGCTGGAGGACCACCCCAGAGGATGGCACCGCCCCCCGCTCACCAGCACACCTCCACTGCAGCTGCTGAGGGTTATGATGAATATGTAAGCATTAGATTATTTAAAGGATATTATTATCGGGCGCCGTGTGTTTTCTCTGAAATGTTTGTTCTCTGATAAAGATGTTGAGACATGGGGGCAGGGCATGTGTGTTTTAGTTTAGGTTCAGTACTTTGGGGACATTTTGACATTCATGGTACACGAACAAGCCTCCCCTTAAATCTCACCGTGTTTCTGTTTCGTCCCCTCTGCAGGGCTACAATGAGAGCTACACAGACACATCCTACGAGTCGTATAACAGCTATTACAGTCAGCCTCAGGCGTAAGTGAATCACATGTCTCTTTGCTTTTTCACCTGCTTCTTACAGAACGTGCACACGGTGCTCAGTTCGGCTTGAAGTGAAAGTGGGGAATAGCAGCAATGCTGCACAAAACCAGGATTTATTGTTCCTTGTTTGACATTTATAGGGTGAATGTAGGTGTTTAGAATGACCTGACTGCACTCTAAGATGGTTCAAAGTAAAGAGCCAAGCTTTAATCTTGTTTGGAAAAACTAATTATAATCTCCCTGGGCATGTTAGTGAGCAGCTACATGATGGATTCAAAGAAAGGAAAAAAAAAAGTTGATTCTTCTTTTATGTCCTCCCTGTTTTTTATTTATTTTTTGACAACCAGAGAACCAGAATATTACGACTATGGACACGGAGAGAGCACAGAGTCATACGAGACATACGGTAAGAAAAACCTTTTTTCACAGATGTTATTTCAATTAACTTAAGTTCCATAAAGCCAATTCATAAGTCATCTTAACGCAATATAAAAAAGGCAAAACCGATCTTTTTACACAATGTAAATCTATTAACATAATTATGTATTACTTAATATTAACATATTAAGTAACATATTTCATGCTCAAATGCATGTAACAGTCGTACTGTTTAATAAATATGACTACAAAACGCTAGATGCAAACAAAAAATATACACTTACTATAGTTTTATTATACAAGTGAATGCCGAACGGTAAAAAGTTTTCAATCTAAGAAAACAAATAAATAGCATCTACAGTCATTTTATTGTAACATCCTGAGCAACCACACGGTGACAGTAGGAAGAAACAACTCCCTCTTAACAATTTTTATCCCATCAAAACTAAAAACGTTTAAAATAGATTAGCTTTTTGTTTAATCTGCTTTAAATTCAGATGAGTAAATTATTTGTTGATATATTGGCCACCAGGTTTAAAAATGTTTCCTCTGTTTAGATTTCTAATGTCTTGTTTGTTTGTTTTTTCGCCCCTCTTCACTCCCCTGCAGGCCAAGATGACTGGAACGGCACCCAGCGGACGACCCCAGGAAAGGCCCCTCCCCCCTCCAGAGGCGGCAAGACGACTTACCGGGAGCACCCGTACCGACAGTACTGAAGCGGACACTCCTTAGTGTTGCCCCGATAACCACCTGTCTACCACGGCAGCTCTCGCTTTAAGAAGCTTGACAAAAGTAAATGTTTTGTCTTTTTAATTTTTATTTTATTATTTTTTGTTGTTGTTTTTTTCTTACACGGACTTTATACAAAAGAACAAATTGGGGACTGAAAATTTGAACTTTCAGTTTGGTTTTTATCTGACCACAAACCTCTCACATACACACCCCCACCCCTCCTCGTTTGTCACTCCTCCTGTCCAACCAGTCAGACGGGTTTTTGGACGGGTCAGAGAGAAGGTGGTGTCTTTTTTTTTTATCTTTCTCTCTCTCTTCTTTTTTGACTTAGTTTGTTTTGCTGTATTCTTTTCCATCTGCACTTTTTTCTCCCTCCTCCCACACTGGCTTTTTAAAAAAATTTGTTTTGGCATTATTGATCGTTCACATATTTTACTGTTCGGGACTCGGCATTTCTAGTGGAATAGTGGCTCGAGAACTACTTGTTTGAGGAATCCATTTTAATTGTTTTAATACAAAGAACCTGTCGAGGGTCAGTTGCAGATTCCCATTTAGGCTACATTTCAAAATTCTGTTAATATAACCAAATAAAATACCTTTTTAAACTTTCATTCATGTAATATATAAAACCAAAAAACCAAACAAATCTTAAATTACAATAAGACTAAATTAATCTTAATGGAATCGGTGCAATTCGTTCTTGATAATGCTTTTGTTTTTAAATAGATCTAAAACATTACTCATTTAGCCTTAGGCAGCAATATTTGTCACTGTACTTAGAGTTTTGAAATATAGCCCTAATAGACACTGTCGAGATGGACTGTCCTCATATCCTTAATTTGTTTTTTACTTGTATTAAAGAAACATTAATTTTAAGACTGAAAACAAAATAATTGTTTAATGAGAATCTGGTTGAAACATGTTAATTTAAAACCAGTTCAGGTCTTCATTTTTGTGATCTGGTTCTACACAAACTGCATGCACAAAGAAGGATTGGGACAAAAATCTCCACATGGGTCTTCTCTTACTGTAGAGAAGGGATCCTGCAGCTCAATCCAAACTCTTGTACATATTTTAAAACATCCTAACTGTACCTCTTCTGCCACTAGTATCTGTACCCTCTCCATAAAATGCATTATGCTACATGTGTAAGCTTGCCTAAATAGGTTACTAAATCTGTCCAAAAGATGTTTTGCAGCAGTTTGTCAATAAAGCTTAGTTTGTTTTTATGAAACTTAACTTGCCTTATTTGTTTCCTGTCCTAGTAAAATTCTGAAATGGCCTTTTTTTAAACAACCTTCAGTAATCAGACGTAGGTGTTTTCTTTTGTTTCTCTTTCAAAACCGGTTTTTAAATATTAAATGAATGTATTGACGTCTGACGACTTTAACCGTACCAAATGATGTCTTGATTTATCAAAAGAGCACAACTTATTCTTTTTCTCTCTTTCTATACTTTTTAAAAAGGACCCAGAGGTAAGACCTCTAAAATAACCTGGATAGCTTCCTAATGTGTATAAAGTTGTAAAGCATTGAATGCCTGGGTATGTATAAGACTTTTTCAATCCTCTTACCTGTGGTCGTAATCGTCAATGAGAATTGCTTTCATAGCATTTGAAAATTAACTGAATTCAAACCACCATTCAGGTCTAGGCCACGTTGTCATGAATGATGCTGGCGCGATGGCTACTTTAGTACAGAGTAATGGCAGTGCAATGGAGAGGATGGTTATAACCTAGAGAGCTCCACTGTAAAGGTAACCTAACCCTAAATGTTGAATTTCCTAATGTGTTTATCCTTTGACATAAACTTGCTGGTAAATCCAAACTCTTGTCTTAAAATGATATTACATTTATGGCAACAAAAAGAGTCCATTTAAAAGTAAGAGAAAAAAAAGTAACTTCCAACATCATTTAGTAGTGGATATTATGTACAAAAACAACTGTTTTGTGTACTAACAAAATATATTAGGATAATGTTAATGCAACTCTTGCTAAAATGAACAGAGCCAAATCTATTTCAATATCTTTCTGTGCAGTTGAGCTGCTGTTACTTTTTATTTGCTGTGTAAAAGTTTACTGTAATATTTAAAATGTGTCTGCCTGTTCAGTTATCTAAAACGAGAGTATGAGTTGCATGAGCAGATCTTCTCCTGTAGACATTGCATGATCTGTTTCAAGTTTCTCCCAGTGATTTTAGATGGGGGTATTGATTTGCGGTTTGTCCTTCCCTCAGGCACCACCATCGGTCACTGAAGACCCTGGAGACTGACGGTCTGCTGGAGGCTGTGGGATCCTCAGGTTGGTTCTCTGATGTGAGTTGGTCTTTTTTTCAGGCTTCGTATTGTTGAGTTTTTTCACGTCGACAGAGTTAACTGTTGTCTTTACCACTGTTCTTGTGGGAAATCTGATAAAATCCTCCACCTTTTCGACAAAGTGAGGCTTATTAGGAGACCTTTGTAAGATGAATAAACTGGAGGCAGATAATCGGAAACATAATACCCCGCCAGAAACGTTACTACTAATTTTCATTCTAGTTTAGTTCTAATCTTCTCTGTTCTCTAACAAGACTGTGAATAAATCAAATCAGTCAGCAATAATGATGCACCAGGGTCATATATTTCTTTTTCTAATTTCTGCTGTTAGTATATTTGTTCTTGATCCAAAATAATTGAAATGTTCGTGTCGATAATTATTTTATAATCTCATCACAGCCCTCTGAATCCAAATTGAATTGTAAGGTACCTAAAGATTCTTATACTACTATAAAATTCATTTGTGGATGACCTAATGAGACCGTTACATTAGAGCAGGCATGTCCAACTCCGGTCTTCAAAGGCCGGTCCCATGCAAGTTTTAGATTTGTCCCTGCTTCAACACAGCTGATTCAAATAGATGATTTAACTTATCAGTTTGCCATCAAGGTCTGCAGAGGCCCACTAATTAAACAATCCTTAGGATCAGCTGTGTTGAACCAGGGCAGCACCTAAAACATGCAGGACACCGGCCCTTGAGGACCGACTTTGGACACCACTGCATTAGAGAAACTAGATAATATATACAAAGACTTAGACATAATGTACATGTCCCAGTATTTTAGATATCCTCCTAAACTGGATTCACTAAAAATACATTGCAAAAAGGTGCCATTTGCATTTATTGCAAGTCATCGCCGCAATATTAAGCACTCTTATAGCACATCGCAGGTTTTCCTAATATCGTACAGCCCCAATTCTCGTCCAGTTCAACAATCTAAATATAACCTGCCAAAAGTTCAAAAGAAGCTGTGTTTCCACCAGTGTTTTTTAATGCGCATTTTGAAGTATCGCATCAGAAAAGGTGAATGGAAACGGCATGATTCGAAAAAAACGTCCTCTAATACGCATAAAAGTTGATACGTTCGCTTCAGGTGGTTTTTGGTTTTTTTGAAAAAGGAGAGATGGAAACACATTTGTCGAATAAGTTCTGACGCAGTGAACATTTACCTCACATGTTGATCAGCTGTTCTCGCTGCCTGAACGGTACCGGTACCAGAGCGACTGCAGCCAATGACTGCAGCTGTCGGCATATTCTCAGTTATTCCCGTAACGTGAAGAGAATCATTTCTTTCTCTACGTCTCCAGACAGCATGTAAAATCGCCAAAACTAGTTGATACGACAGAATAATTACAATTTTCCTGATCGTAGCAACATGTTTCTAATAACCTCTCTCATTTTCCTGAGATGCAACATTTACGTCCTGTTTACTACATGCATGCGTCTGACATAATTGATTTGCTTCAAGCCAGTTGATGGAAACACGTCTGATTCGCATTTCTTTTTTTTTTTTTTTTTTTTTGTTTTTGTGAATTTTTTCAAATTCGCTCACTTCGAATTAAAATTGGATGGAAACACGAAATGTTTTCTTGCAGTGAGCTTCTCAATAATGAATCAATAAAATAAATTCTATTTTTCCCTTGTTTTCTTTTATGAATCTCCATGTGCACGCTCCACCAATTTCCCAGTAACATCCGGAAGGTTTAAGGCCTACGGCCTCCGCGTGGTCCATCCTAACCTGTCAAACCAGCTCTCATTGATGTAGTGGCATAACGAATATTGCATCATTTTGTTCGCAGCTTCCAGTCTTCCGCCCCTTCTTGGCGAAAGACCCCCCCCCCCTCACACACACACACACAATTATGTGTTTGGTCAGAAGTTTGTGGGTGTGTTGGATTATGCTGAACAGTGCTCAGACAGCAATGGTGGCATTTTGCTTCAACTCCATTTCCAGAAGCCGACTGTTCCCACAAGCAGACACTTAGAAAGACATCAACTTATTGATGAAAACATCACAGATGCTGTGCACGGAGGAATCTGTCTGGTTCTTTAACAGATTGTGACTAAATGGCCAATATCGAAGTGGAGACTCCAGTGGAAAGAAACCCTAGCTGTGACGTGTACTGCATCAGGAGGGGTATCCCCCGGAACTCTGTCGTGTTAGGACAGTGGTTCCCAATCTGTTTTCATCAAAGCCCCCCAGCCAAGGGAGGAGCTGGGCTGCTGACTGAGCTCCAGGGAGGAGCTTTGTACGAATAGGAGGTGCTTTGTACCAGCAAGTGTTGAGGCAGCTCAACGGCTACCTCAGGAGATCCAGCGATTTCTCAAACATGCATGAATGAGTCAAAGCAACATTATTTGTGTTTTTGATGAATAAATGGCATAACATAAAGGTCAAATGTTGATTTTGCATATTCCACAACCTTTGAGCAGACAAAGGCTATGTCCCCCCCCCCCCCATGCTCTCCAAATTTCAAATGGAATGATTTAACAATTTTATTTTACTAAATTTAGATGAATTATACATTTCCTGACATGTCTGCTTTCTCTGTAAAGTCAACAACATACCAGGTTGCTGTAATTTCTTTCCCTTTTTACTGAGCTAAAAATACAACCAGCTCTCTAGAGACTAAATATTTCATGCTCAACAGGTGCTCGACACGTTTGAGACTCCAATGCTTTTCACTGGTAGTTTATGTATAAATACAGGTAGCCTTTTCTCCAAAAGCATGCATTATACACACTTCATATGTGTGCAGTTTGAGGCACACATCTCCCTTTGCAAGGGCTTTTAGAGTTCGACAGATGCTCAAAAAAGCCCATTTGTGGATTACAAAAGATGCACAGTCCCTTAGTTGATTAGGGCCATGGTGTTTTGGTGCAGACAGGAGAATTGAGAGCAAGGAAGAAGCAACAAAGTGATTTAATGAGTCTTCAGAGATGCTAATTTAAGAACAGATGTGCAACTTGATCCTAAAGAACAGCAGCACTTGTTTTATCTGGTGATGGCTTGAATTCCACAAGAAAGATGTTGAGCAAAACGTCATTATTTGCCACAAAAGGCAGCAGTGTCACACATTTGTTACACACCCTGAAATGTCAGGACCTGCAGGACTAATCTTCACACTGCTGTGTTTTAAACTCTGCATGTCCACACGTCCAACCCACTGCAATGAAAACGTAAAATAAAACCAAGCAAGTTACCAGCTTTTTGACAACATTCCTTATATATTTTGCTTCGATTGAATTGAACATTTTTACAATGTGTATATGTATATAATTTTACCTGTTGTACCCCGCCTCTCATTATCAGTTTTCTCCAATTCATTATTGTTCAGGTAGTATTTCATGTTTAAAGTACTTTAAAGAAATTGCTACTTAGGAGGTGGTTTAGTGCCTTTGGGTCATACTTATCTCAAATACCCCTGTTATAGATTAGCAATCTTGTGCTATATTGTAAAATATGGGCCATTTGTAGGTTTAAATTATTTAAAGCCTCTGGCACGGTCCTTTTAACTTTTCACATTTCCCCTTAAGACCTGTGTGGATTGGAAGAAAGTGTGCTCCAGATGCCTCTGGGCCTTTCAGCCTATGTAACATAATTTAGCTGCATATTCACAACATTTAATGACTGGTCAGCTCCTGGAAATGGCTTGACATTTGACAGTGTGTAAACTGGTTCTGGTACTGCTCAGCCAGTCTGACAGACACCAGTGTCACTGAAGTTACTAATGAGGAGTAACTTTGTGCTCTGCGAGAAGGAAAGAAATCGGCTCTCATTTCCTGGGGTGTGCATCAACTATTGCGTGACTGGTCAGAACTTTTTTGTAGACGTTTATATGGAAAACTGTCGGAGTTGTATTTTGTAGTCAAGGGCTCTCTGTTCTCTTGACAGTGTGGGGCGTCCCGTTTGGATTATGGTAGCGTAAACGCTGAGTACCAAGGTTTCTGACATAGACTCGTGTTCCCAACCTTCCAAACTCCAATCTTTCGTGCTTTCTAAGGTCTTTCATGTGGGGGGCTTTCACCTGCCTTCTTGTTAACTTGTCTGCCTGTCCCCCGTCTGACCCCAGAACCTCAAATTCCAGTGCAACACAATGGGAAAATAATGAAAATAATATCTACACAACAATCTGTATTAATCATGTATGTTGTTGACCAAACGTTTCTCTTGTTGTGATGTGATGTCAGTTTTCGCACTGAAGTTATGAAATTTTGAGTCCCGTCCCCCCCCCCCCACACACACACACACACACACACATACAATCATGGTGTACCTTGAGCTTTTTTAAACATGAAATAACTAATTACTAGCTGTGTCCTGATACCAGTTTTTCTCAGAGTACAAGTACTTCAATTGGGTACTTGCCGATGCTGATTGCTTACTGAGTTAGACCTAAACATTATATAATAACTTTAAAAACATGTTTCTTTTACAAAGAACAAGGCTCTCCTTCCTTATAGGCCTACAGCCCCTCTGACTAGATCAAATCAAATACAACAACTTCCATTTTTTTTATAATAAATAAAAATAACATAATTGTTGACTTAATATATTTGAAGAGTTGCATTTTTCATGCTGTTTCAATGTTTAGGTAGTAGGACAGAGTTTCACAACAGCAAAAGCTCACACCAGACAGAAATGACCCTGCCAAAAATTCTAAAGGTCATACAGAGTAGGAAATACAGGTTAGAAAGGGAGGGGGAAAAAAAGACCTATATCACACCTGATATTGTCATCGCAAGATTTTCTAATGTCATTCTGAGTAAAGAGCGATTGCAGGTGGGCAGAAACAATACCAGTATCCGTATTAGAACATCACTACTAATTACAACTTAATACATTTAAAAATATAAAATTTAAACACACAGCAGCAGCAAGGTATCAACTACGTGAATCAACAAGAGTCAACACCAAACCAGCAAAGAATGCCAGTTCTGTTTCAACTTCAACTTCCAGTTCCAGTCAGAAGTCTAGGTATATACAGTCTTTGATACCAACACTAAGCTAAACACACATCACTATAAACTGCAAATTGTTCATCGTGGAAGAATCACAGCACAAGCTGTTCATTAGACTGTGTGAGTCTAATAAAAGGACCCAGCAGTGCTGCCAAAGCTTTTATTTTAACCATGTTCTGTAGACATTTTGACAAAAAATCTGTTGAAAAAATGTTCTGGGATTTTCCTTGAAAAAAAAAAAACAAATTATTTAACGAAAAAACAACTTCTCTTACCTTTTTTAATATTTTCATGTCCAGGCTTGAAATAAACCTCCAGTCTTAAAAGATGCATGTGTGTTGCCTTTTCACTTTCATTTGCTGCTCTAAAACAGAAAATCATGACCACATTAACTGATGATTGAAAATGCCTCAGTAATTCAAACTGACCCAACCCTCCAGCAAGCTGCTTTTAAGAAAAAATGTTGCTTAGCTACTGTAGCAGAGATGTGCTGCTTGGCAAGAAAAAGACCCTTTTAATTAATGCAGCTAGTGCTTAGAAAGAAAAGTGTTTTTTCGTTCCCTCTCTTGACAGACTTGCTCTTATCTCCAAACCTCCTGTGGTTTTTGTCTCCTCTGCAGTGAATCGGGAGCAGCTTGGCATGAAGGCGGTCAGACGAAGCTCTCGGGAGCGTCCCAGTGGAGGGGGAAAAGAAAAAAGAAAAGGAAGGAAAATATGAATGGTGGTTCAAGGCCCAGTTCTGGTGTCTTGGAAGCTGGGGGAAGGGGTGCGCAGGGGTAGGTGGGCATGGCACCTAAAGATGATGACTGATGAAGAACTGGCTCAGACTCCAACCTAAGGCTGCAGCTGCTCAGCTGGGAATCAGAATACCAACAGACCAATGAAGTACTCTCACCTCGTGGACTATTTTACATGTCTTTGTTGAATTACCAGGTATAATTTGTGTAAATACTTTCTTGGTATTAAAGATACCAACTGATTGAACTAGACTACCTCCTTTCATCAACAAATGTAACAGTTTCAACCCAATTTACCATCAAATGAGTTATCGTGGTATAGTAGATTTTGAAATAGATTTTTTTAAATTCCTATTAACCATCCATCCATTATCTACTGCTTGTTCCAGAGGGCAGCAACTTGAGCAGGGAGGCCCAGACCTTTTTTTCTCCTAGCCAGCTCTTCTGAGAAGATTCCAATGTGTTCCCAGACCAAACAAGAAACATTGCCATTAGGGCTAGGCAGTATTGATCACTTTCATACCCCAGTATAACCTTTTAGAAAAAAAAGGCTGCTCTGTTTTGCTGTCACTCAGTCTGCTGAGAGCAGCAGGAGTAGCAGAATGTATCTTGCCCCGTATGTCACACAAATTAAAAAAGAGTAGTTTTTTTTAAGTTTATTGTTTCAAAATAATATGACTCTTACCACAGTTTTTTCTCTCTCTCTCTCTCTTTTTAAGCCACCTCAGTAGAAATCAGAACTGAATATTTGTTTTAGTTTCTTCATCATAAGTGACTTTTTATTTTTTTATTTTTTTATTTGTTTGAGAAAAAGAAAAGAAAAAAAGTAAAACATAATACGAAAGAGTGAATGAGAGTAGAAGATATGTTGAAATATATATCGAGAAAACACAAGACACACAAAACACCTTGGCTGCACACCTACAGAAACAGAGATAACAAAAACACAGCAACAAAAATGCATATCTATATAATTATAATGATTATAGCCTTGCTGAAAGCTATACCCGTGTGTGTGTGTGTGTGTGTGTGTGTGTGTGTTACACATACATACATAT